CATTTTAAATGGGGGTTTTCACTGATCTCATGCTATAGCAAAACAAGTGATTTCTATTTTGACTTCACAAGATGTTAGGTTATGTGTGCACACGTCTAATCAGCCCGTTCTCATCCCAAGGCGTCATATACTGACGCTTTTGACTGACGTTTTTTATACTATTGACTCTTTAGCGTCAATATGAGACGCAGATATATATATGGGGCAGAAGGTGCCTCCTAGTGACTAAACCTACCCATGACCGAAGCATGTTATATTGTCGCTAAAGGGTGCGTTAGCATCCATTGTCAAAAGCGTCAGTATATAACGCCCTAGGATGAATGCGTTGGTCTAATGTAGTCTGGTCCACATTTGATGTTTGTCTGACCGAGCTGTAAAGTTAACAATAATAATAATAATCTGACCATTTAGCTTGAAACTGAATATTCATGTAAGATGAACCAGGTGGTTGGAAAAAAGTGATTCATGGCATGTATATATTTTTTTATTTTATATTGGTTGAGTTATAGGCTATAGATTATTTATATTTACAAACATTAATTGTTTTCGATATTTATGTATGTCTTTTTCTCTCTCATTTTTTCTTCTTTGGAACCACATGCATTGATGAATCATGCACAATAAAATCATAGACCAGTGTAGCCAAGTCTGAGGTTTCTCCGCAGAATTTTGCTACTTTTTTACGGTTTTATTATTATTATTATTTTATCAAACAATATCAATTTACAAACCCAAGTAGGGAACAACAATGGGAATATGGAAATAGACACAAATAACATGTAATTACTTTTAAAGAGTTTTTTAGTGCACGGGTTAAGCGAACGTGGGGATTATTTTGGCTGCAATTGGGCGGGTTTTGGCTGGTTGTTATATGCAAATCTGGCAACCCTGCCAGGGACATGCATTAAAGAAAGTAAATGTCAATTATAATTTCCTATTACACTATGTTAATAGCCTGTACAACAACATCATGTGCTTGCAAATCACTATACAATCTGCAAACTGCCTATTAGTCTGTAAATAAGCTATTTGTCAATGCAACTGCAGTCTAAATTGCTGACTAAAGCCCGAGAGGTGCGGCTGCTATCCTTTCTGCTGTTATCTCCCTGTCTTTCTTCTTCCCTAATTTTTGTTTAGCACATTCTTCGCCCTAAAAGAAAGTTGACATCATCATCTGAGGACACATAAGTTCCCACGCAGTCTTGTGTCTCTGTTTCACACACTCATTCGTAGGCTGAGTCATGATACGGGCCTAATCACTGACTCTGCTCGGGGTGTGGCTGCGCTCGCTGGGAAAGTGTTTCTCTTCATGGTGCGTGTATACTGAGTTGTCTGTCGAGAGACCTGTGTTGGTTAGCGTTTAGGACGATGCGTGAGTGTATATAGGACGTCTGATATTCGGTTCTGTTCTGAAAGCACGTACTCTCTCATACCATTGGAGCACTTCACAGGAAACTAACAGTTGTTTTCAAAATAGCTTGATCACTAGCATGTTGCTAAGCTAACAACGCCACAAAAATAGACAATATTGGTCTATTTCTTTTGATACCTTTGGTATTTATAATTCACAGTTCTCCCGCTTTTTCCTCCATCTTGAATTGTTGGATGATTTCACCCATGGATATCCACAATAAAGGCTAGATATCTCGTCCACGCTGCTGGCCAATGGAGGTCGACGTCTGCACGTGGCGGCCATCTTGTCACAGGCAACTCGCTCCCTCTTAACATTGTGTTTTAATGATGAATGTACTTTTAAATAACCATAACTTGCTTTGAACTTTAACGTTCTATTAATATTACTGGAAGAATGTTTGTTCATAACTTTGAGAGAACCTTTCCAGAACAATTGCCAAATAATGTTCGCCGTTGCTGGGATGTTATCTTAAAAAACACTACTTGTGCAGGTATCTCACTAGGTTTTGGAACAGAGCTAGCCTAATGGTTTTCTGGCTAAAATCGAGCGCAAGTGTCTCTTAGCATTAAATGCGTTGTACTTTCCAACCCTCGGCTCTGGAATAACTCTCCTAACAGTACAAACACACACACAGAGATCAGTTTCTAATACGCTTTTATAGAACAAATGACAATAAAACTCCTTCTGGAAGGTCATGTTTCATCACCTCAGCCCTGGCAGTGTTGTTCTAAAGCGGACACTGAGTCCAGTTACCGTGACAAATTTGTTAACGTGACGGAGCCATTAGCGTTGGAGATTGTGGCCAAGTCAAGTTTCAGAGAGACTTTCCTTTAGCCTGACCCAGTTCTTAGGCTTTGAAGTCGGCGAAATGGTCATATTTTCTGTTCTGATGACCAGGAAACGAAGGGTCAGTTAGATTAATAGTCAGAATTTGTCTACGTGGGACTTTCACAGCATTTGTTCAGACTACTTTTGCTTGCTATACATCTGTTAAAATTAAAAAAAATGAGTGGCCCCTGAAAGCATTTGGATATATATATATAAGCAACTGATGTATGAAGTGTAGTTCTCCCAGATGAACACGTTCCAATAATGTTAGCCAAGAAAGAATCGAAACACTTTTTGAACAGCATATCTGTGTGTTTTATTGCTAAATGACCATGTGAAATTGCTTGACGTGCGCAGTTGTTTCCAGGGTTGACATTTCCTAAGGGCTCATCCCACTTTAACAGTCACCATCCTTTATTTTACTTCATAACTGAGCACATGATTTGCTACTTGCTATTGCTAGTCAGAAGTATTAGTGGGAGGGGCATGTTTATTCCAGAGAGTATTTGATTGGACAAAAATTTTTAGTTCAAGATGAGTCATCAATATAATGGGTCTGGATTATAATTGTGTATATATAAAACACACATATATGCTGTTCAAAAAGTGTTTTGAATCTTTTTGTCTAACATTTGTGGAACATATATATATATATATATATATATATATATATATATATTTGTCATCTGTTTTTCACATTAAATTTTAAAGGGATAGTTCACTTTGAAATGAATTTTTGGTATGTTTTAGCTTACCGCAAGGGCATCCAAGATGTAGGTGTCTTTGTTTCCGCAGTATTTTCAATTTTGATATTTTTAGGTCAAACCGTTCTTGTCTGTCAGTCATATAATAGAGGTCTATGGTCACCACCTCAAAGAGCATGCACAGAGAAGTCCAGATTAAACATGATTTAATGACTCGTAAATGTGAGTACTCATTGATGGCCTAAGACACGAAACAAGCAGTTTGTGTGAGAAAACGAACAGTATTTATTTATATAGTTTTTACCTCTTGTTACCACAGACCAAAGCGCCCGCGCCCTCAGATCACATGGACGTGGCTGTGGTTACAAGAGGTAAAAACGATATAAATACTGTTCGTTTTCTCACACAAACCGCTCGTCTCGTGTCTTAGCCCATCAATGTGTACTTACATTTACGAGTCATTAAATCATGTTTAATTTGGACTTCTCTGTGCATGCTCTTTGAGGTGGTGACCATAGACCTCCATTATATGACTGACAGACAAGAACGGTTTGACCTAAAAATATCAAAATTGAAACTACTACGGAAACAAAGACACTTGGATGCCCTCGAGGTAAACTAAAACATATCAAAAATTAATTTCGAAGTGAGCTACCCCCTTTAAATGTGCATATTTGCTAAAAGTGAATTTTGTCAACATGGGGTGTTTAATACCTTTAGCAAACTAGTGTTTATGCTTTAAAAGTGTGATTGTGCTTTAATAAATACATTGTGGTTTGACATTTTTAAATGTGATAAATGTCCAAATACTTTCTCAGCGTGTCATGATTTCAGTGACACGAGTAATGATCCGTGCATGTCGGTAACTTAAGCTCCAGATAAACAGTTTCGCACATGTTCAGGGCTTCAGTGAATCAGGCCTGTTGAGAAAGGGTCATCGCGCGGTTTCCAAAGAAAAGCTGATTGAAGCTGAAAAGCTAGAAGAAGACGCTCTTTGTGCGATGGCTCTGCAAACACGTTAGGCAAACGCATCTCATGCCATCTATTTTGGTGTGCATCTTCAGCTTTCCCACGACAGCAGAGAGAGATAGTGTGATGGCCTTTCATAACCTGTCTCACATGGTCGCCCACCCGCCGCGCTCAGCTGAACGTCTAGCCACACACAATGTGGACCCTGTTGGGATGGTAACGTCTGTGTCCACCATCTCAGACCTGCAATTCAGAACCTGGATTACATTAAATCTGCTTTAATAAGGAAACATTTGCAATATTCGTAGAACTATATATATATTAGGGCTGGGCAATGATTAATCACGATTAATCGCATCCAAAATCGTATCCTGTGTATTTATATATACAAAATAATTATACACAGTACGCACACATATATTATGTAAACACAAACTTTTATTTTGGATGCGATTAATCGTTGCCCGATCCTAATATATATATATATATATATATTCATGCTGTCAAATCGATTAATCACATCTAATATAAAAGTTTGTAAATCAATTAATCGTGATAATTCGCATCTAACATAAAAGTAAATATACATGTGTGTGTATACAATATATACACACACACACACACACATATATATATATATAAACACACACATTTATTTACAAACCTTTATGTTAGGTGCGATAATCTGCAATTAATCAATTTACAAAGTTTAATATGCGATTAATCGATTTGATAGCACTAATAAAGATGTATGTTGTATTATCAGCGTTTGAAGAGTCCTACACTTTTTTATGAATTATATTTATTTAATTAATCATTCAGACCAATTTGTGAACCCATTCAACTGATTCATTTAAATGAACTGACTCAAATGACTCACTCACAAATCAGGCCTCACTACGCAACACAAGCCAAATATTTATCCAGTGCAATATTTTACAATGTAAAATATATTTTTATGGCATAATGGACAGTTTAGGATTAGTATTTACACCATAGAGTTTCCTTTAAATTATTATACAGATTATTTGATGAAAATAAGGTTTTTCACAACTCGTTTGGGTCAAAAAAGAAAGATCAAATTCTTAAATTCAAAACATTCAAGTGAAATTTTATTTGATTTAAGGATCCAAATGTCAACAACTGAATGAAAATATGAAAATGGAAAAGAAATGTTTTGACAAACCCCAGGGTGATTTGTTTTCATGGCTCTGCTTTTTCATAGACAAACAATCAAAGGAACAAACTCAACAAATGAACTAGACAACATGGCAGTAGTAACACAGATTGGCACTGAAGCAGAAACACATCAATTCATAAAAGCGGTCTACGAAAATTATTTTGATTTCATGTTTGTCTCGCTTAATAACATTCAGTTCTGTTCTCTTCATATTTCATATTACATTGCACTTCTAATACTGTTCGTTCCCTTTAGACGTTTTGGTTCACGTTCATTTTAATACTGTTATAAAAAAAAGTAGACCAGCATTGTTTGATATCCTGGGCTGCCAAATTCATTTAACACAGTTATGAGCAGAAAACATGCTAAACATGTTCAGGAATGGTTTTAGAAAAGTGTATCTGCATCAACACTAGACGGAAATCCCATCTAGCCTACGTCTCAGGACAGTACAAACACAAGCCATGCGCGTTTTCTTAACATTGCACATTGTATTCTGGATTTAGACACAAGTAAACAAGCTATTCTTCAAAAATAAACTATTATTTTGGCATTTCAGAAACAAGAGACAATATTTTCCATCCAAAAATACAAAGATTGGACACATTATCAAACCTAAACAATGTATATAAATAAAAACAAAACGATAGGCTCTTGATTATTAAGTTAATAAATCAAATATACACAATGATTAATTCGAAAATATGTACAAAGTCATCTATACAACATCTAAATTGACGGTGAATTTCATATAGACAGCAACTTCTAGGCATGACTGTACACATGTAAAAAAGAAAAGGAAAAAAAGAGCAGAATAAATAAAAATGAACTGCTGGAAAGAGCGGGAAAATAAAATCCAGTCAAAAACCCAATAAATGGGCGTTAAATACAATCTTCAAGCACATGATACACCAGTAATAATTGATTTACAAGCTATTTCTGGTGCATTAAGTTTTAAAACTGAATCCAGTCTGCATGTGCCGTTCAGTTCACGAAACCCTCAGCAACATTTCCATGGCTAATTTCATCCCAAAGTCATTAGAAAGTAAAAAGACACTATATTTTATGTTTAGCGCTATAAAGTTTAAGCACATTACCCTGTAATTCTCATTTCCGCGATGCAAAAACAGCATAATTCAAGCATAATTCGAAAAAAGAAAATAATGGTATATTATTTTTATTGTAGAATTTATTGTACTGCCTTTGGGGGGCGTTTACACGAGAGCAACTAAAAACAGAAAACCTTTTGGCTGCTCATTTACGCGACAGTTGCGTTTTTGGGGCGTGAAAACTTTTGAAAACAGGTTTCAAGGTGCATGTTTTTGAAGAACGATACCATTATCGTCTCAGTGTAAACTACAACGCTTGTGTGTTTTTAGTCAATAGGCACGTAGTGTTTCTTTACAACGTGGCATCGCCATCTACTGGCCTGGCATGAATAATACAGCACTTCTTTTAATTGTTTTCGTGGATCTGTGCGAACAGAAACTTTTCAAAAATGCGAAGGAAAAACGTTGCCATTTCTAGTACATTACACCCCAAATTTACACTGATTTGCAAAAAAAAAATCCTAGTATTACAGTATTTGTTACTGTATAAAACTGCAGTATTTATAGATTTATAGAAAGTAAACGCATGTGTAACAGTGTAATGGATCCGTGCGTCAGGTCTTAAAGTGACAGCAGCCTAATTAAAAATATCGATATAGCCGTTTATAGCAGTTGTAGAATTAATTGTACTGCCTTTGGGGGGCGTTTACACGAGATCAATTAAAAATTGAAAACCTTTTGGCTGCTCATTTACGCGACAGTTGCGTTTTTTGGGGCGTGAAAACTTTTGAAAACAGGTTTCAAGGTGCATGTTTTTGAAAAATGATACCATTATCGTCTCAGTGTAAACTACAACGCTTGTGCGTTACGTTTTTAATCAATAGGCACGTAGTGTTTCTTTACAACGTGGCATCGCCATCTACTGGCCTGGCATGAATAATACAGCACATCTTTTCATTGTTATCGTGGATCTGTGCGAACAGAAAATTTTCAAAAATGCGAAGGAAAAACTTTGCCATTTCTAGTACATTGTTGTCATGTAAATGTACCCCAAATTTATGCTGATTTGCAAAAAAAAAAAAAAATCCTAGTATTACAGTATTTGTTACTGTACAAAACTGCAGTATTTCACTTTTGAGGATATTACGACAAAAAAAAAAAACCCCAAGATAATAATGAGAATTTGGGAGACAAATGTGCTTAATTGTCATCTACTAATGTCTATGATTTCTAGGGTGAAATGTGACCCGGACATGTTTTTAGTGAGATCCGTAGCAGATTCTGGCCAATTACATTCACGTTCAGGTTTCGTCATCGAGGCTCTACGTTCCGCACAGGCTAATGTCTCCAGGCCCTACAGACACTGACTGACGCACAGCCACAGACACGGACCAGCCTGTGGTCCACACTGCAGCGCAACGCCTGAACAAATACTGCCCGGACTTGTCGTCACAGTCAACAATAAGCTTTTTGATTCACTGGCTATTCTTTGACCTTTTTCGAGACGTCGTCAATGATTGTTATACGATAAACTCCATTTTGCGCGAGCTGTGTTGCGTGTCCGGGTCTCTTTGCTGTGAATCCGGAGCTCTGTGTTGCGACTCCAGGTCTCTGTTGTCGCGTTTGTTAGTCCAGAGCGGGGCTTTACCGTCCGTGTCGTCTCGGTCCACCAGCATGTAGGCCGGCTGATGCGGGAAGCGTGTCTTCTGCAACCGCGTGTTGGGGTCGTCCTGCGTCAGCCTGGTGGACTCGGAGAAATGCGTCCTGATTTTGGCGTTGACGGTGTTCTTGACGTCACAGAGGTGCTCTTTCCCTGGCAGGCTGCCGTTAGACGCGTTCTTCTCGATGTGGTTCTTGATCTGGTTGAGTTGCTCACGGGCATTGTTCACCGTGTTTTCCTCTGCGGTTCCTGTGGAGAACGGGGTGGCGGGGTTGATGGCGGTGGGGCTGGAGCTTTGTTTGCGGCGATGGCGCACACACCACAGGAACACCGACGCCAGGGCCAAAACCCAGATCGCCGTCACGATGGAAACCAGCAGTGGCACCAAGTAGTCTACTGAACGAGAACCAATGCATTAATAAAAACAAGCTGGCAAAATATGACATGCATTCATCGTGTGCAAAGCATTTAGTATTTTACTCTATTCATTCGTTATTAAATCGAATAGCAACAAAATCTTAATATTGTATAAACACTCACTATCATTTTAAGGTTTGGAGTTGGCAAGATTTTTTGCTCACCAAAGCTGCATTTATTTGACCAAGAAAATACAGTAAAAACAGTAATATTGTAAAATTACAATTTAAAACAACTATTTTCTATTTTAATTAGGGCTGTCAAACGATTAATCGCGATTAATCGCATCCAAAATAAAAGTTTGTGTTTACATAATATATGTGGGTGCGCTGTGTATAATTATTTTATATATAAATACACACACATGCTTGTATATATTTAAGAAATATTTTTATGTATATACTGTACATAGATTTATATATACAGTATATATAATTTATATTATATATAAATATAAATATTTTATATATAAATAATATTTTTTTATTAAATATACTTGTGTGTGTGTGCATTTATATATATATATATATATATATATATACAAAATAATTATACAAAGTGCACCCACATGTATTATGTAAAGAGTAAACACAAACTTTTATTTTGGATTCGATTAATCGCGATTAATCGTTTGACAGCCCTAATTTTAATATATTCTAAAATGTAATTTATTCCCGTGATCAAAGCTGAATTTTCAACATCATTACTCACATGATCCTTCAGCCAACTCCCTCACCCAAAGTTTTGAACGGTAGTTCAAATTAATGGATATTAATGTAATCTCAATATTAATGTATTTGCTCTGAAATAGTCTTTCCAATCAGAGGATCCATCATTTTGACCTGCGGCTACTTCCTGTGAGGTTCAAGAACTTCCTGTGGCGTATGGGGTGGTGATGGCACAGTGAATAAGACACATGCGTTTGGTGTGAGAGACCCATGTTCGAATCCACTGTGAGACACCAATGTGTCCCTGAGCAAGACACCTAACCCCTAGTTGCTCCAGGGGCGTGCGACCTCTGACATATATAGCAATTGTGAGTCGCTTTGGATAAAAACGTCCGCTAAATTAATAAATGTAAATGTCTCACCATTGGGGTTTTGCGGTTGCCTGCGCTGCACGCGGACCTCAGCGATGGAGCCGATGATGGTGCTGTTCGCGCTGTGTTTGCTCACCAGATCGATGATGCTGTCCGTGATCTCTTTAACTGGAACTCGGCCGTGGATGCCATCCTCAGTCACATGCTGGAAAACACAATATTTCCTTTAAAATGCAACTTTAAAAACAATTCGGACCTAGCTAGATCTAGAAAATTACAGTAGCGTTAACTGTATGCCCATTGTACATGGCAACTGTGTATATATGTATATAAACAGGGCTTGACATTAACACCTGCCAAATGTGGGTGGATTTCAGCTTGATTGAAAATCACTCGTCGCGAATTGATTTTGTGCTCACACCCAAAGTGTAAGCCTCTAAGAACTAAATTGAGTTATTTTTCGTTGCTTATTGTGCTTAAACAGTCAAATACACACAAAATAATGTCAAAATGCCAGTCTTAGCGAGTATTCATGTAAACACAGTCAGTTATGTTAAGTGAATGTAATCAGTTGAGAAAGAAAACGCATGTGTAACAGTGTAATGGATCCGTGCGTCAGGTCTTAAAGTGACAGCAGCCTAATATTCCTGCTGCCACATTATGAGATCATATTAAAAATATCGATATAGCAGTTTTTCCCTGTGGTTTCGATGTCAAAACAGTGTCTGGTGAGTAAAAAAGTTACTGTCTAGCCCTGTAATTCAATCATTTTTCAAGTCGTTCTTTATAAATATAAGGATATTATAGAAACCGGAGCCATTTCTAGCCAATTAAATGGCGGGTTAGATCACTTACGATGGCCACATGGATCTCATTATTGGCGGCAGTAGAGAGTTCACAGGTCATAGAGATGGAGAACTCAGTCGAAACATTCTTAGTCACATACAGATGTCTCAGCTCACGACACACCTGCTCCACCGTCACTCCCTGAGAGCCAAAGTACATACACCCATTAAAGAACGCATTTTAATATGCATGTATTAATTAAGTATATGCAACCCTATCACCAAACTTTGACTATCAGTCTGAGTGGCCTCACCTGTGGCATGGTGTCCTTGTTGAAGGTGAAGGTGACGTTGGCGCAGTCGCTCTCGGGGTGACAGCGCGCACGTACGGCCGGCCGGTGAGCAGACATGCACTCGCCCTGAGACGAGCAGGGCTTTACGAAACACTGTTCGTCACGCAGCGACACACACAGCTGACCCAGCGGACAGTCACCTCGCCCCGAGCCGAGCATACGGCAGGGTTTAGGGCCACACCACAGCTGACCACAAGAGGAAGGAAGCGCAAGTATTGTAAACCATAACGCATCACTATTAACTTCTGTCAACAGTTAAACAACAGCTACAACACACACCTTAGTACAGCTCACGATGCCCTTGTGACAGTAACAGGTGTTGCAGTCTTCGGCCCACTTCGCTCCATCCACAGCGATCCGACCTCCAGCCACACACGGATGTCCGGTGACTGAGAGAAAAACAAGCCACTTTAAAAATCACGTGACATTTACACTTTTTATTTTTTAATTAGGGCCACTTTTGGCTATTTGAAATCTTGAATTATGGTTAATTTAATTTGTGAGGGTAATGATGTTTATGTTTTTTGAGGAAAAAAAATAAGCCTTGATCTTATTGAGCTAATACACCAAGTAAGCTAGAATTTACGAAGAAAAATTAAAAAGGGTTAAAATACTAAGGGTTTCGGTAATGACACCTAATAAACCTATTCTGAGATCATGATACAAAAAATAATAATAATAAAAACAACACAATATAATAACACAATAGTCACAGTACACTGTTTAAAAGGTAATATTATATATCCTTTAAGACTAGTACTTTTTTTTTACAATTAAAATCCTAAGGGTTTCGGTAATGACATCTAACAAACCTATTCTGAGATCATGATACAAAAAAAAAAAATAATAACAACAACACAATAGTCACAGTACAACATTTAAAAGGTAATATTAAAAATCCTTTAAGACTAGTACAATTTTTTTTACAATTAAAATCCTAAGGGTTTCGGTAATGACATCTAACAAACCTATTCTGAAATCATGATTAAAATGAAAAAATTAACACCCTCCACCCACCACAATAATATTAATACAATAGTCAGTAAAAAAAATAAAAGGTATTATAATATATCCTTTAAATCTAGAACAAAATTAATTAATTAATATTAAAACAATAAGGGTTTCGTTAACAACATCTAACAAACCTACTCTTAGATCATGACTAAAAATAATAATATTAAAACAATAGTCACAGTAAAAAGTGTAAAAGCCATTATAATATATTTTTTCAATCTATAATGACAAAATAATTCAAATTAAAATACTAAGGGTTTCGGTAATGACACCTGATAAACCTATCCTGAGATCATGATACAAAAAAAAAAAAATAACAACACAATATATTAACACAATAGTCACAGTACAACGTTTAAAAGGTAATATTATATATCCTTTAAGACTAGTACAATTTTTTTTTTACAATTAAAATACTAAGGGTTTCGGTAATGACATCTAACAAACCTATTCTGATATCATGATTAAAATGAAAAAATGAATACCCTCCTCCCACCACAATAATATTAATACAATAGTCAGTAAAAAAAAAAAGTATTATAATATATCCTTTAAATCTAGAACAAAATGTATTAATTATTATTAAAACAATAAGGGTTTCGTTAACAACATCTAACAAACCTACTCCTAGATCATGACTAAAAATAATAATATTAAAACAATAATCACAGTAAAAAATGTAAAAGTCATTATAATATATCTTTTGAAGCTATAATCACAAAATAACTAAAATTAAAATACTAAGGGTTTCGTTAAACGGCATGATTGAATATCATGTTAATATTATTGTGTTATTGTTTAGTCAAAATTTGAGATCATGAGATCATGATTTAAAAAATAAAAAATGAACAATAGATATTAGATATTATAATACATCCTTTAAATCTAGAACAAAAAAATAAATAAATACATTTAAATGATTTCCCAGGGGACAGAAAAGTCCCTCTAATAAATGCTTGATTTGAGGTTTACATCTCAAGATAAGGGATTTGAAGAACCTCAAACTCTGTATAAACAATAGCAACCATGACTAATAATATTCACGTTAATTAAACAGCGAGCATACCTTCCTGACACCTGGACCCGGTCCTGCCGGGGGGACACAAGCAGCGGTAGCCATTAATCTCGTCCACACACGTGGACCCGAATGCACAGGGAGACGACTGGCACTCATTGATGTCTGAAGGGCGAGACGCACGTTTAGATCACTGTAAAATCACCATCTTATGTGTCGATATGACTATATATATTAGACAAAGCGTCATTGATCACTCACTGATGCGACAGTCCGGCCCTGCGAATCCACTGGCGCACTCACAGCGGTACCAGTTATCCCCGTCCACACACGTACCGCTGTTATAGCTGCACAAAGATCACACACGTGATGAGATATGGGGTCAAAGTTCAACAGGACACATGCTGCCAAGTCCTCGGGGGATATTTCTATAAGTGTGGACGTTAAACACGTGGTGATGTGCATAAGTTTTGTCAGAATATTTTTTTTTCACATTCTTTTTCAACAACAACAAAAAAATTTTTTTTAATTATTATTAATTTATAATGAATATTTTAAAATATGTATTATTTTGTATGAAAATATCAATTTAATTCATTCAAGTATTTATTTTATTAATCGGATGCTTTGTGTATTTTTCTCCATGCTTGTGCACACAGAGAATGATGGGAAATGTAGTTGTCACGCAAGTCTCCTGACAAACAGGCTAAATTTGCAGTATTTTCTGGTAAATTCACAATTTTTCATTAACAATACACCAAGTACATATAAACTAAATTGTACAGTTAATTCTCACAATTAAAACTAGGTTATAATCAATACCAATTTAAAACTTAATTAAGTTCGAAACGTAAAAGTAAAAATATACGTGGGTTAATATTGCTGTTGATCACAATGTATTGTTATTAGTGCTGTCAAATCAATTAATCGTGATTATATATACAAATATATACACACACACTCACACAGACACAATATATAGAGTATATATACACGTGTATATATATACACACACACATATTTTACATAAACTTGTATGTTAGATGGGATTAATCGCGATTAATCGATTTGACAGCACTAATTTATATTTTATTATTACATATTGTTATAAAAAATTAAATACATTTTTAAAGATTAAAATTAAATCAAGCTATTAAATTAGATTAAATAAAAATGTAATGTAATCCAACTTGATTTGAAGGCAGCAACAAAAAAAAGTAATGTTGACGTAGAATTAAGCTTACCATGGTTGTGGGTTGCAATCGTTGGAATCTGTAAAACGAAACAAACATTTTGTTATTACAGATTGAATACAGATATTAAAAAAGCAATCATCCAAAAACTCTTCTTGTTAGAATGAAATCAACAAGTTAGCAGTTAGTTAACATAGTTACATACTAGGTCATAATCCCACCTGACCAATCATTCATCAAAGTTACGTCTGCTAATGATATTTGAGCTGAAACGACTCAATTTCGGGCATTTTCTAGGTATATTTAGGGCACTTTGTGTTTGTCATGGAAAGCCTGGAGTTCTGCAGTGCAGATTCGGCATGGGTCCGCAAATAAAGGTAAAGGTGACGTGTCATTTTTCTAAATTTAAATAATTGCTTCTATCCCAGTGTAACATACACACACAAGTAATTCGTAGATAAGGTCAGTCATTATTTTGGGACGAGGCGCAGAACTGACACACTTCAGCTTTAAGGAACTATCCAATTAGTATATAGTTTGGAAGAGAACCTTAAGCAGCAGTAGGTGAGAGTTGGAAACAGGAGTCAAGACAGGAAGTAGTAAGGAAGTGGAACAGGAAGTTATGCCGTACTCTGGCTGCAGGTGAGCCCTTCCCAGCCTTCTTTGCAGACACAGGTGAAGCCGTCACCTGTCACGACACACGTGGCTCCGTTCTCACAGGGGTTCGGCAGGCAGCTGCTGTTCTTCGCTGTAGACGACGAGAAACGTTCATTATAACGGTTGGATTCAGAGCCCAGCTCACAGAAATGCTCCTTCAGGTCATTAGCAGCTCACCTATATTACAGGTGGCGCCTTCCCATCCAGGAGCACACATGCACTTGAACGAGTCGCCTTCGTCTGAGCACGTGCCGCCGTTGTTGCAAGTAGCCTCGTCACACTGGCTCTCGCCTACAAACCAGAAGAAATCAGCGGTCAGACAAGAGAAATATCATGCAATATCACAATTTTAGCCTAGTTCTGCGATCCTGTCACGTCTTGAAGCTATGGAGAATGTAAGATAAAAGTGACTCGGATTTTAACTTCATATATATATACACTTCATATATATATATATATATATTTTGTATGTATTACTTAAATACATTAAATTGTTCTATAAAATAATATAAATATTGTTATTTAAAAAAAGAAAGAATAAATATCATTATTAAAGGTTATATTAAATTAAAAATGTTATTAAAATTAATAAGAAAAATTCTATTCTTAAAGATTGGATAAAATTTTATATTAAAAAGTTTAAATATCACTATTTTTTGAGAGAAAAACAGGGTTATTTTAGCAAACTAAAAGTAAAATCATTAAAAAAATAAAATAAATAAAATAAATGTTAGCTGAAACAGAATAAAATATTAAAAAAACTGATTTTACTTCAGCTATTAGCAAAGGCAACATTTTTCATTTCATTTAGTTTAACTTGATGTGCTCAAATAATAATAGTAATAAAATAATAAAATATAATTTTTTTGATAATAAAAACTATATAGACATTTTTTAAAGTAAAATGACAAAAACACAAAATAACTAATACTTAAAATAAAATTAAAATAACAGAAAATACTAAAATAAAAACAACAAAAACAAAAAAATAACACTAAACAAAACATGCCAGGTTTTAACTGTATTTTAGTTCTTAAAATAAACATTTTGAATTGACCTGACAACAAAATCTCTCTTTTTAATTTTATTTTTGTATATTAAGATGATCTAGCCCAAAGTCAACGGTATGCAAATGAGGAGGTGTGGCTTACGTGAATGACAGGTCTTTCCCTTCCAGCCGTTTTCGCACTCGCAGTAAAAGTCATTGACCAGATCCCGGCACACTCCTCGGTCCCGACAGGGGTTCATGCTGCAGTCGTCAATGTCTGTTTTGGAAACAAATAATGTTTCTTTATATATATTATGATTGCATTACAATTTCCAAATAACTGAATTCCATTTCCAGTGACATTAAAGAGAGCGATCCACTCACTGGTCTCACAGTTGGGTCCCTCCCATCCATCAGCACAGATACACTGGTAAGTGTTGATTTTATCAATGCAAGTACCACCATTGCGGCAGGGACTACTTTCACAGTCATTGATGTCTGAGCGCAAAGAGTGAGACACATGATGTTAAGAAGATCCTATGTTTCGATGACTTATAGCCCTGAACATGGCACTTACTCTCATGGCAGTACGTCCCTGTGAATCCCTCCTGACACTCGCAGCTGAAATGCCCACCGGCGTGGCTTCGACAGCGCCCGTGAGGACCACACACACTGGAGGAGAGGAGGCGTGTGCCGCCTGGAGTGCTGTTAGACGCCACGGCAACCGTGCAACTGTCAATCACTGGGGACAAATATGGACAGAGTTATCAAGAGTCCTTCTGGTACAAACTAGACTAGACGCATGAATGGACGACTACAAATGTCTGTGTAAAAATGGTAGCTTGTGCCATCTTGAAAGGTTATGCAGCAGAGGTTTTTGGAGTTGGTTGGTGCAGGTTTCTAGGTGGTCTAGTCTAACTAGATCTAACTAGGTGGTCTAGTTTAACCAGATCTAACAAGGTGGTCTAGATCTAACTAGGTGGTCTAGTTTAACCAGATCTAACTAGGTGGTCTAGTTTATCCAGATCTAACAAGGTGGTCTAGATCTAACTAGGTGGTCTAGTTTAACCGGATCTAACTAGGTGGTCTAGCTCTAACTAGGTGGTCTATATCTAACTAGGTGTTCTAGTTTAACCAGACCTAACTATGTGGTATAGATCTAACTAGGTGGTATAGTTTAAACAGATCTAACTAGGTGGTCTAGATCTAACTACATGGTCTAGTTTAACCAGATCTAACTAGGTGATTTAGCTCTAACCAGATCTAACTAGGTGGTCTAGATCTGACTAGGAAGGCTATTTTAACCAGATCTAACTAGGTGGTCTAGTTTAACCAGATCTAACTAGGTGGTCTAGTTTAACCAGATCTAACTAGGTGGTCTAGATCTAACTAGGTAGGCTATTTTAACCCGATCTAACTAGGTGGTCTAGTTTAACCAGATCTAACTAGGTAGGCTATTTTAACCAGATCTAACTAGGTGGTTTAGATCTAACTAGGTGGTCTAGTTTAACCAGATCTAACTAGGTGGTCTAGTTTAACCAGATCTAACTAGGTGGTCTAGATCTAACTAGGTAGGCTATTTTAACCCGATCTAACTAGGTGGTCTAGTTTAACCAGATCTAACTAGGTAGGCTATTTTAACCAGATCTAACTAGGTGGTTTAGATCTAACTAGGTGGTCTAGTTTAACCAGATCTAACAAGGTGGTCTAGATCTAACCTGAATTAACTAGGTGGTCTAGCTCTAACCAGATCTAACAAGGTGGTCTATATCTAACTAGGTGGTCTAGTTTAACCAGATCTAGGTGGTCTAGTTGACCAAAATGGTCTACCAGAACAAAATCAGGTCCAACGACTGGCAGACCAGATGATCAACAATTTAGACCAGCTAAAAACCAAATAAAAACATCAGAAACTGTTTTTTTTTTGTTGCTATATTAATCAGCAGGTAATCTCAGCAGTGAAAGCAGTATACTTAATTTTATTTTTTACATTATTGTTGTTATGATTATTAGCAGTAGGAGTATCATTATTATTACATACTGATTAAAATAGTACTAAATAATAATTGTAGACATTAAAAACAATAACAGTTATTACTTTTAGTAAGAATAATAATATTGTTGACAGTAATTATTTAAATGTTCTTGGAATGTTTACTTGTTAAATTAATAATTATTATTATAAATTATTAATTGTTGATATTATTAATTAATAATCATTATTCAATAATAATATAATTTAATAAGTATTTTGCTATTTAAAAAAAAAAATCGAAAAAAGATAAATTCATTAAAAAAAAAATTCCAGCCATCTGTGCAATTTGAAATATTTTATAACTACAAAAATGACAAAACTAGAAACTTAGAAAACTAGAAATGTGACTTTTCCAGACCTGGAAAATCAAATGCAAATATTTTTTTTTAAACCGTGGGAACCCTGTCTACTTCAAAATATCTCTTTCACACTGACACATATGATGAAAGCATTTAGCGGCATGCTAAGAATTAGCAAAGTCGTCATGTAGTCTGACTAGCGGGGGGTTTTCCCCTATCTCTAAGCTCACTTCGGGTTAGCATACGCATCGTGTAATGATATTTAGCTGCTACCATGGTGAAACGGGCCGGGGGACCAATAGACTGGAGTTAGCAATCGCCAACGCTACAGCGTACACAATGGCACAGCATCAAACGCAGCGAGGCCTTGAGATGGGGATAGTCTTACGGCCGCGTGGACTAAAAAAGACTCGACTTCTATTTCCAGTGCCCATTAAAACCTCAGTATGTGCCCAACCAGATAATCTTACAACCCTACACATAAGAGCCGGGATCTGGAGTCTGAGAGCGCCGATTAGCACTCAATAAAGCGGGAGACATCAGGACTCCTAGAGTACACTATCATGGATATCTTTCATTGACAATAAACCAACTCTCTCAGGTTTACGAATCGTGACTCTACTGTTACTGCTGGTTCTCTTCATAAACTAATAAAGTGTCATTCCTGTGTGTAATTTCTGCACCTCATCCCCAAAATAAACAGTTTCAAACAGGTTTCCTTATCTACGAATGCCTATTAAATGGTATGGCCATCTCTTCTGGTAGTGGTAACCTACCTTGGCATGGTGTGATGAGGCAGTGGTCTTTGAGTTGAGAGCAGTTTTTGCCTTCGTAATCTTCTGGACATTTACAGTAGTAATCCGAGGCCAGACTAAAACACTGCGCTCCGTTCTGACACGGGCCGCTCTCACAGTAGTCTATGTCCAGCTGAAGACAAAATCACATACACACACGATGACTCAAGAGTCTGTTTATTCAATATCACCATTGATCAGAAGTGATTAAGACATGAGAAGGTGTTCTGGCATGAGTGTGTTTTGCTCACCTGACACGTGACACCTGAGAAACCAGGTGGACACAAGCACTGGAATCCGTTGGCAGCGTCCTGGCAGCGTCCGCCGTTCAGACAGGGTCGACTAGCGCACTCGTCCACGTCCCGCTCGCAGTGTTCCCCTGCGAAGCCCGGTGCGCACACACACCGATATCCACTGACCAGATCCTGAGGGGACGAGACAGACACATTAGCACTGCGCGGCATATTCACTGGGGGAACAATAGTGTTAAATAATAAAAAATAAATAATAATACCGTTAATAATAACAGTAATAATTTATTTTAAAATTGAATAATATTTCTTAATATTATTAATCATAATAATGATGATGTTGACAATCATCTTAATTATTACTTTTTATACAGTAAAATAATAATAATATTTGTAAAATTGAATAATAACAAACTTAGTAAATAGTAATAATTATTAATATTAGTATTTAACAATTATTTATATATTTTCGTAATTCATATCTGTCACAGTAAAATAATAATAATAATTTGTAAAATTGAATAATAACAAATTATTATTATTTTATATACAGATTAAGATAATTATTGTAAACATTAACAATAATAGTATAATTGAATAATATAATATATTAATAATATGTACAGTATTATCTTAATATAATTACCTGGGACAGTAAAATAATAATAATTTGTAAAATAAAAATCATAATTATTACTATTCAAAATAATGTTGATAATATATTAATATTATTACTTAATTATTTATTTATTTTCTTCATCTTGTTAAACAGTAAAAGAATAGTAATAATTCTTAATAATATTATTATTTAACAATTATTTATATATTTTCTTAATTCTTACCCGTTACACAAAAATAATAATAATAATTTGTAAAATTGAATAATAATTATTATTTAATACATATTAAGATGATAAATAATAATTATTGTCAACATTAATAATGATGATGATGTTGGCAATGATGTATATAATAATTTAATTATTATTATTATTATATATCAATAATAAAAGTATTAGTTTATAAGTGACTGAATTATTACTTTATAAACATTATTATTAATATTAATAATTCTTACTTGGTATACAGTAAAATAATTATTAATTGTATCCATATTAATAATAATCATTTTAATAAGTATGTTCTTCTTTAGTCTTGTTTTAAAAAAGACATTTTCATATATTTTTCTAACTAGTGTTTTTCTTTTAAGCCCAAATCAAACATATATTGAGTGACAAAACAATATCCCCCACCCCTAGAAAGGATACTTTCTCTCAGTCTACGGGACTAATATCCTAAAGTCCATTACAACATGTTGAATCTGATCAAATCAAACACGGGATTGTCAGAACTGATTAGGACTTTACTCCCTGTGTTTTTACAGCTAACTGGCTCAGACAATGTCCTAATGCACTCCAGCTGTACAAGTATCCGCGCCGAGAGCGAGTGAAGAAAGTACACAAAAAGAGCAAAAAACAATGAATAGGAGACAAGGGCAGGAGACAAGAATGTTTATGGTAATCTGATCGTTTTACAAACTCACTCTGTCTTTTTGACCACTTTGACTCTTTATGTACATTCTCCAAAGCATGACTCAGCTTCTACTATTTTAAAACGGGAATGGATGGGGGTGATAGAAACAGAACAGCAGAGGACGGAGAAAGAGAGTCTGGGGGGGCTTTTACATTCGCCAAAACCAATGGAAACATTCGAGAACTTACCTTACACAGCCCTCCGTTAAGACACTGTCCATGGCAGTCGTTGAAATCTGCGGGGGGTAATCCATCAAAATATCAGTTCACATTTCAGAAATCGTGCCAAGAAAGCAACATTAGGCTCCATATCAGGCCCAGATCAATGCACACTTTTTTGCATTTCCTGCACTGATTTTAGGGTGTAAAATCCTGGGTTAAAGGGGTAGTTCACTTTTGCTTATAATTTACTCACCCCCATGTCATCCAAGATGTCCATGTCTTTCTTTCTTCAGTCGAAAAGAGATTAAGGTTTTTGATGAAAACATTCCAGGATTTTTCTCCATATAATGGACTTCAATGGGAACCAAACGGTTCAAGGTCTAAAAGACAGTTTCAGTGCAAACTGTTCAAAGGGCTTTAAACGATTCTAGACGATGAATAAGGGTCTTATCAAGCGAAACGATCGCTCATTTAAAGGGATACTCCACTTTTTTTGGAAATAGGCTCATTTTCCAACTTCCCCAGAGTTAAACAGTTGGGTTTTACCGTTTTCGAATCCATTCATCCGATTTTCTGATATTTAGAAGAATATCGGTAACCAGACAGTTTCTGGTCTCATTGACTTCCATAGTAGGAAAAAAATATACTATGGAAGTCAATGAGACCAGAAACTGTCTGGTTACCAATAAAAAATGAGCCTATTTCCAAAAAAAGTGGAGTATCCCTTTAATAAATAAACAACAAAGTTTAAGTTTTATAAGCTCACATGCTCGCCTTGCTCTGTTCTGTGTGACTCTCCTGTTCGAACTCGTTCATCAAAATGAACAAATGTTTTTTTTTGAGTCAATTCGTTCAAATAACTCAAAAAAAGATTTGTTCATTTTGATGAACTTTCTTTTGGACCTTGAACCGTTTGGTTCCCATTGAAGTCCATTATATGGAGAAAAATCCTGGAATGTTTTCGTCAAAAACCTTAATTTCTTTTTGACTGAAGAAAGAAAGACATGGACATCTTGGATGACATGGGGGTGAGAAAATTATCAGCAAAAGTTTTTTAAAATCTTTAAATCAAGGTAAAACATGTGAAAGAGAAGCAGCTGAAATCTAAAAGAAATAGCCATAATATTGAATAAACATCTTCTAAACAATACTTCTAACCCACCTGCATGATTTGAGGTACTATCATGCATGTCTATACTAGAGGAGTTCGCTCAAATGCCATGCTGGGATTTGTAGGAAAACTAGAATGATGACTCAAATGATTAGGTGAATCGTTTTTCTTGGAACTGATTCATTTCAATAAACTTACGTAATGAAACCATTACTCGGTGGGAAAAACAGGACAAAAATCATGGACAAGCTAGACAGTTTGACAACTTCTGTCATGTTTCTAAACTCACAAAAAGATTTCAGCAATATTAAGCGTTATTTTGCATAATTTATATACTATTATAGTATTTAAGATTTTGAATTAGCTTTTATTTATTTTATATTTGCAGTTTTCATTTTAAGTTTAGTTTAGTTTAAATATTTTAGTGCTTTTGTCATTTTAAAAAAGTATTTATCTTTAATTGATTTTAGTCATTTTTAGGGCTGTGAAACGATTAATCGCATCCAAAATAAAAGTTTGTGTTTACATAATATATGTGTGTGAACTGTGTATAATTATTTTGTATATATAAATACACACACATGTATACAGTATATACATGTATATATTAAAGAAAAATGAATTATTTATATATAAATTATTTATGTATAGTACAAATTACTAAATATATATATATATATATATATATATATACACAGTATATTTAAGCAAATATTTCTTAAATATATACATGCGTGTGTGAGTGTGTGTATTTATTTATACAAAATAATTATACACAGTTCACACACATGTATTATGTAAACACAAACTTTTATTTTGGATGCGATTGATCGCGACTAATCGTTTCACAGCCCTATTCATTTTAGTACTTATTTCAACGTTTCAAGTTCATCTAATATTTTTATTTTATTTTTGTATTTTTTCCAATTAAAATATTTGTAATAGTTTTTATTTTAAAACTACACTGAGTAATATCACAACTTTTAGTGAATTACTTCCCAACACTCCTATATGAACTGAATTTTTTTTTTTAAATCGCGTCTCAATACAGGTACCTTGTGGGTTTTTTTGTTCCACTGATCTGCGTTTCGCATTTAAAGCAGCAAAAACACATTCTGTGTGAACTCTGACTGCTTTAATTCGAACTTAAATTACTTACTGATGTCGCAATTCTGTCCAATCCAACCGGGGAGGCACTCGCAAAAGTATCCGCCAATCAGATTCCGGCAGGAGTGGGCATTGATGCATGGGCTTTCCTCACACTCATTAGCATCTGGGCCAAAAATGACAAAAGAAATCAGCACGAGCGTAGTCTAAATTACAATCAGACAGATACACATACAGCCAAATGTCCCTGAAGAATTGTGTGTGTGCGTGTGTTAATGGACTGTAAATGCACTCTAGTATGAAACAGCGGTGGGGTCTCATGGTGGTCTGTAACTTAAATTCTTCCAAATCGGACTCGGTTTCCACGGAAATTGTATTTTTGAACAAACACACCCTGACTGAAAGAAAGAGAGAGGAAGCAGAGGCACAGAGAGGGGTAAAGAAGAGACACCCACCAATGAGACACGTCTTCCCGCTCCACTGCACGGGGCAGATGCATTTAAAAGCGTCCACCAGGTCCACACACACACCGCTGTGATTGCACGGGTTCGGACTGCAGTCATCTTTGTCTGAGGAAGAGGGAAAACCCAGAGGAGATTTGCATCATATTTCTTCTGAGGTTCTGAGTTGTGTTTCATTTAAGGATCACATCTTTCTCTTTAGGGAAAAAAGGGAATTGGCATAAAATCATATTTTTACATTTTCTGACATAAATAAGTGTGGTGCTCGTCACTAGTTACGTTTCCATCCACTTTCTTTTTGGGATATCGCATAAAAAACTGCTGGATGGAAACAGCAAGATGCGCAGGAATTAAAAAAAAGTCGCATTAAAAAAAAAAAACAACGCGCAAAAACTATGATGGAAACATTGATTTGATTCGAATCATGTGACTTTGTGCGATGGGACGGCATTCACTGGCAAACGCTCTTTTTGCACAGCATCTGAAATGCCTGAGCAAAGTCTGACGTCAAAGTGGTTCGTCTTCCACGACAGCGTTCCCAAACAGCAGGTATCCGCCTCCGAAATGCGTTTATTGATTTTCGTCTACTTCATTAAGCAATTTATTACGTGCATATACAGTGGCTTCTCCTACTTTTTTTAGGGATATTTAGCCCCAGGATGTCAAGAAGTGACGATTTTGTTCTCCTGGACTCTGGATGGAAACACTGCTTTATTCACAAATTTTCGCAACATTTTCTGCGATATTCCCATTTTTAGCTAAATTTGCAAATTTAGATGGAAGCATAGCTACTGTTATGTTACAAGAGTGTTGTGAGTGGTATAAATTAGGGCTGGGGAAAAAATCGTTTTGATTTAAAAATCGAGTTGGTAGGTCAAATCGATTCATGTTTTCCGAAAATCGATTTAAAAAAAAAATTCTCGCCATTATAAATAATTTGGATGTTTTATGGTGCGGCGCGTCAGACGCGAGTGATTTCAATGTTAAGTTATTGCAAAGACGTGTTACGCACGTAAAAAATTCCTGCGGTGTGAATGGGGCGTAGAGCGTGGCGCGGTAGACGCGAATACGCCTCATTCGCGCGTCAAGTCTGCGCGAATTGAGCGTCTGCCGCGTTAATCGCGAACGATTTAGTTAGTGCTATTTGTGCATTCACGCGTTTGACGCGAATTCGCAACTTCTGAAAAAAAATCTGAACTTTGGTGTCAATTCGCGCCGCGTTAACCAATCAGGAGCCTATCTGGTCCGTTGGACACAAATACGGCGACGATGCCCCACACCACTGTTCTGCTCTCCAGAGCAAATACAGAGTGGCGACTCTCTTGATGAATGCTTGAATAACATAAAAAAGATGGCCGCCAACGGGTTTCGATTCTGACGCACGTAAATTTTGCTTAAACTTTTGTTTTTAAACACGTCAATTCTGCTCATGACGTGCGAATGGATTCAAAATGTTCAAGCGTATAACTACACGCGGTAGGCGCGAATTTGACGCGCACAGTGACTTTTCAGTTAGAGAAAGGGTTTGCCTTTGCAATTTTGTTTATGTTGATGCACGTTAATTAAATACAATAAATATATATTTATAAAATATATTCACAGTTCACTTGTTGTAAATGGGGGGAGGGGGGGTTTATAATCCAATATCAAAAATGTTTATTTAAAAAAAAAAAAAAAAAAAAATCACAGATGTTACAGGCCCGTGTCAAACGAGCCCACCTCCAAGCGTCTATGACATTCTGGTTTCTATATACGCCTTGGCGCTGTCTTTCAATGTCAATTCGGGTTTTTTTTAACGTATGAAAACTGCTGACCTATGACTGGGCAGTTTGAGACAGTGTAGAGAAGGCTTACTGATATTGCAGGACGGTCCTGTCCAGCCCGGCGCACACTGGCACTCAAACCCCTGACTGGACTCCACACAACTCCCTCCGTTCAAGCAGGGCTCAGACAGACAGGCATTATCCGCTACAGAGAACCAGAGGGAGAGATGTTATAATGTTGTGCTCACACACACAATCAAAGCACGACTGAGACAGAACAGTGTTTTCTGAAGGAATGCACGAAATACAGACATTCAACCCCAAAATTAAACACACGGACCACACATTTGCCAAACAATGACAAACTCTCCTTCTGTCCAAGCAGCCTCTGCCAGTTTCATGTCATTTTATGGCTGCATTAACAATAGTATACTCTTCTACTCACGTAACAGAGTCATTTAAACTCAAATCAATATTTCATTGTGCTATTTATTTAATCACTTAGTAGTTTCAGTTGTTGTTCCAGCAGCACTAAACTAAAACTACAAATCTTTTTTGTTAATGTAAAAAAAAGCTTATGAACGCGCATCACAGAACAGAGCAAGGCGAGCATTTGAGCTTATAAAACTTAAACTTTTTTATTTATTTATTAAATGAGCGATCGTTTCGCTTGATAAGACCCTTATTCATCGTCTGGAATCATTTAAAGCCCTTTGAAGCTGCACTGAAACTGTCTTTTTGACCTTGAACCGTTTGGTTCCCATTGAAGTCCATTATATAGAGAAAAATCCTGGAATGTTTTCATCAAAAAGCTTAATTTCTTTTCAACTGAAGAAAGAAAGACATGGACATCTTGGATGACATGGGGGTGAGTAAATTATCAGCAAAAGTTTTTTTTCATACTTGCTCTTCAGCTGCAATAATCAACAGTATCACCAGTGTAGCAGATCTAATCCACCAAGACTAACTACATTAACTTTGGCATATTCAATAACATGCTAAAACTATTCAGAGACTTGTCATGATTGAACTAACATTTTATATATATCCGCCACAACAAAAATCAACACAGTATCCACAGTAAGGATCAGTATCGGTTTTGTTGCATCTAAATCTTATTAAGTGTTCACTTCATAGGCAGGGTCACGTCTTGGTTTTCCCCCTTTCAATCTCCCAGTCACTCCCTCTCTCCGGTCGACCGCTCTTTATCAGATCACTCAGTGGACGGGAAAGCCCCCTTGGCCTTTCTCACACCGAACAGAGACCACCAACAAAAACAGAGGAGTGTAGCAAGAGGCTGTGGGCATTTATTTCCACTAAGACATGACAAGAAAAAAGGATAACAAAAAAAAAAAAACGACGCAAACCACACCAGAATAAAATGAAAACAGCAGAGCAAGAAAATATCTCTATTATTGCGTCCTGTGATTTTTCCAACACACATTTGTGATAGAGCGTGCACACGATGTGATGGACTTTCTGCTCAAATCATATTAATGTACACTGCATTCTTTGGCTTGGCCAGGACATTGAATGCTTGATTGGTATTTCAAGTGTATGTGTGCATGTTTTTGGCAGGGCATCTTCCCTATTTTACTGACTGCAGAAATCTCAGATGGAGAGAAATATGGGCAAGCACTGACAAGCAGGATCCGAAATGAACCCTCACCAAGTGCCAAATGGGAGTAAAAACTGGCTTTGGCAAGTAAATAAAATTGAGTTTCTCGCCAGTTGGACGGTATGAACGGCAACATGATACATGCTTAATTTGACGAGTCGCTGATAAGCAACACGAGCGATTCAGATCGAAAACATACAAATCGTGCACTCTAGAAAACATCTGTCAAAGCAGCTTTCTTCTCTTTGGAAAATTCGAATCAATCAGTATTTTATCCAGGACAGTTTTCTCCAGATCTTCCATGAATGTGGAATATTCCTCAAATCAAACACATACACTACTAGAGTATAAAAAAAAGTTTTGAGTTAGTTTTTTCTCTCTCAAAAGAATCAATACTTTTATTTAGTAAGGTGAACAGAAAGTTCAAGAGAACAACATTTATTTGACATTATAAAATGACTTTACTGTCACTTTTGATCATTGACAATTGAAACTAACATTTTACTGTATTTTTGATCAAATGATTGCAGCCTTAGTGAGCAGAAGAGTCAAAATCTTATGGACTTAAACCTTAGTATTAATATGGAGAAATCATGGTGTATCGCAACTTTGTGTTTCACAACACTGTAAATGAAGGAATCTGAGCTCATGATACAAGTTCAATCAGGAGTGGATGCCCCTCCCTGTCCTCCACCCTCCGCCCACGGCATCCTTTGCTCTTTTTATATGAAAGAGGTGTTTGCGGTGGACATCACTCATGCGAGGAGGTGTGTGTGCGTGTGTGTGTGTGTGTGTGAGAGACCCACCTCTCTCGCAGTTCTGTCCAGAGTAGCCATCAGGACAGGCACAGTGGTATTTGTCTGGTCCGGTGTTACTGCAGGTGCCGCCATTGAGACAGGGCTGCCGCGTGGCACAGGTGTTCAAATCTAAATCAGATGAAACAATTCAACAAATGAGCCAAGCTGAACAGAACAGAATGAAATAGGACAGAATGGAGCAGAACACAACAGAATAGAACAGAACAGAATACGACAACAAAACAGAACAGAATAGAACAGGACAGAATACGACAGAACAGAACAGAATAGAATAGAACAGAATACGACAGAACAAAACAGAATACGGCACGACAGAACAGAATAGAATAGAACAGAATACGACAGAACAAAACAGAATACGACAGAATACGGCACGACAGAACAGAATAGAATAGAACAGAACAGAATATGACAGAACAGAACATAATAGAACAGAATACCACAGACCAGAAAATGACAGAACAGAACAGAATAGAATAGAATATAACAGAATACGACAGAACAGAACACGACAGAACAGAATATAATAGAACAGAATACCACAGACCAGAAAACGAAAGAACAGAACAGAATAGAATAGAATATAACAGAATACGACAGAACAGAATTCGACAGAACAGAATATAACAGAATAGAACAGAATACGACAGAACAGAATAGAACAGAATATGACAGAACAGAACAGAATAGAACAGAACATATTACGACAGATTAGAACAGAATAGAATAGAACAGAATACGACAGAACAGAACACGACAGAATATGACAGAACATAACAGAATAGAATAGAATAGAATACGACAGAACGGAACAGAATACGAAAGAACAGAATACGACAGAACAGAACACAATAGTAGAATAAAATGACAGAAAATGACAGAACAGAACAGAATAGAATAGAGCAGAACAGAATAGAACAGAATATGACAGAACGGAATAGAATAGAATACGACAGAACAGAACACGAAAGAAAAGAACAGAATAGAATACGACAGAACAGAAAAAGAATAGAATAACGGAACAGAACAGAATACGACAGAATAGAACGGAATAGAATAGAATACGACAGAACAGAACATGACAGAATATGACAGAACAGAATACGACAGAACAAAACAGAACAGAATACGACAGTTGCTTGGAAAGGATTGCTAGGTCATTTAAAGCAATTACAAGAGGCACAGCCCTTTAGAAAAGAAGTAAAAAAAAATGGCTTTCCAATTAGGATCCCATAGGAATTTGTAGAGTGTAAGTTGCTTGTTCTGATTTTATTCCCACTGGAACTGTTCGTTCAGTTTATGCATGTAGAGGACCACAATGGAAATAAGCCTGAGGCTTTATTGTGTATTTTATCCTCAACAATTGTATTTAAATGTATATGAATCGCCTCTGGCATGTTTGTATATGTTGTTTATAAACATAGTTGAATAAATCAAATCAAATCAAACAGAATAGAATAGAATAGAATAGGACAGAACAGAATACAACAGAACAGAACAGAATAGAACAGAATACGACAGAACAGAACAAAACAGAATAGGACAGAATAGAATAGAACAGAATACGACAGAACAGAATAGAACAGAATACGACAGAACAGAATAGGACAGAATAGAATAGAACAGAATAGGACAGAATAGGACAGAATAGAACAGAATAGAACAGAATAGGACAGAATAGAACAGAATAGAACAGAATAGGACAGAATAGAATAGAACAGAATACGACAGAACAGAATACGACAGAACAGAACAAAACAGAATAGGACAGAATAGAATAGAACAGAATACCTTTGTCACAGAGTTGCCCTCCCCAGTTTGTGTCACACAGGCATTGCCAGGGTTCGACGCATGTGCCGTGCACACAGCCGGGATGTGGAATACACTGGTCACAATACTCGCCCTGCCAGCCGTACTGACACCTGTGAAGGGCACAACATCACCTCTCAATATAAGACACACACTTACATGAAGTCACTGATGTAATGCAGCTCTGTTGCAATTCCCAGTGAGCTGCCAATCTAGACAGGGTTTCAGAAATTATATTTCAATGCTTTTGCATTCGCTCGCAAACGTTCACGTTCCCCCGAGAAAGTTTTTTTTACACATTTTTTTTCATCATCATGTCGGAATACTTTATTCATCATCCGCACCTTTTCCGAATAAGGTATTTGGCTTCGGGAACATCCCCACTAATGAATGAGTAGCCCAGTGCAGAAAATGCTAAAAAAGCCTTTGTTTAGCCAGCTGCCTTTGCTGTCTATTCCGACAGTAGACGGTGAGTCAGCTCACCTGGTTTTGGGACAGAGTCATTTAAACCATTTTCTGTGTAAATAAATGCTATACGTTACCTGCAGTCTCCAGGCACTTTACAGGAGCCATGCTCTGTGCTGCAGCCCTGCTTACAGATCGCTAAGAAAACAAGAGAGAAAGAGGAATATTGTTACCGCTATCAGCTCCATCTGTGTGATCTCAGCACTTCTCTCTCATCAGGCCATTTCAGCCGCTCATCACACACACTCTGCCAACATGATGTCATTTCTCCACCCCTCCACTCATGTTTCTTCATGCGGGAATGAATGAGGGAATAAACACTATTACAGAGACAAAATCCACCCTAATACTGTCGCAAACCCACACCGTATCAAACACTAACACACACTAGCTGTCAGACAGGATGATGATATGTGTGTGAGAAAGCTTTGTTGTGATAGTGACAATCTCAAATAACAATATCCCCATGAGGTCAACGATACAGAGCCATTATAAGTCCAGCCTGACCGAGTCTGAATCCACTTAACACACTTTTCAACAATGAATTTCCATGACATTTCCAGTATTTTGTGATTTCTCTTGAAAATAAGAAAAAATTGCAACCGATTAGAAAGTAAAAAATTGTCTTAAATGTACATTCAGTGCATAAATGTACATTACTTTTAAAATTGTATTAATTTTCGGTAACGCTTCCTTTTACAGTCCAGTTACCCATGTAAATACTATGTACTTATTTTAGTAACTACAATTACTAATTACTACCCTTAAACCTTCCCCTGTACCATGTACTTACCTTATATCAGCCAGTAATTTCTAGGTAAGTACACTGTAAGTACTGTACTGTAAAAGGAAGCGTTACCTAATTTCCATGAGTATTTCAGGTTTGGAAATTTTAGTAAAAGAAAAGTCATTTATAATGTCACAAAAGGTTTCCATTTAAAATACATGTTGCTCTTTTAAACTTTCTATTCATCAAAAAATCCTGAGGAAGAAATGCATCAAGACTACCACAAAAATATGAACTCATTTCAATATTGATTATAATCAGAAATATTTCTTGAGAATCAAATCATCATATTAGAGTGATTTCTGAAGGATCATGGAGTAATGATGCTTTGATCACAGGAATAAATTACATTTAACAATTTATTCAAATAGAAACCAGTTATTTAAAAATGTAATAATTAGGGCTGTCAAACGATTCATCGCGATTAATCGCATCCAAATATAAAAGTTTGTGTTTACATAATAAATGTGGGTGCACTGTGTATAATTATTTTATATATATAAATACACACACATGCTTGTATATATTTAAAAAATATTTTCATGTATACACAGTACTGTATATAGATTTATATATAATTTATATTACATATAAATCTAAATACTTTATATATAAATAATATTTTTTTCTTAAATATACATGCATGTATGTGTATTTATATATATATATATATATATATATATAAAATAATTATACACAGTGCACCCACATATATTATGTAAACACAAACTTTTATTTTGGATGCGATTAATCGCGATTAATCGTTTGACAGCCCTAGTAATTATAACTATTAAATCAAAATAAACATGAGCCTTTTTCAAAAACATTTAAAAATTCTTCCTGCACATCCCAAATGTTTTAACGGTAGCGTATCTCTAGCGTAATCCATAAATCCACGCACAACAGCAGTATAAATATGTCAAAAGGCCACCATCAAGGCCCCGCCCCTCACCAGTGTTGCATTCTGGGCCAGCCCATCCCTCCAAGCAGGTCTTGTTGCCATTGTGATCGCAGGTATAGTGGCCGAAGAAGTCATCTCTGGGCCGACAGAACTTATTGCAGCCGAAGCCAAAGTAATGCTCGTCGCAAGTCACCCGAATCTGGTACTGGAACTGAGCCACGGGGCCGTTGTGCTTCAGAGGCAACCACTGACGGTCCGGGTTGATCATGCCCGACTGGACCGCTTTCTCGATCACTTGTCCATTAATGCCTGCGGGAGAGGGGGAGAAACAGGGAGGATTGGAGCAGCTGTGGTTTAATTACACTTGTGTTTGGCGTGACTGTGAAACTATGCCACTATAGCTTACACAACTCTGACACACACACATAGTCTGATTATTTGTGTACTGGCTTTGAGGTGAAAGGTTTTCTGATAGGGTATGAACCCTTTAATCACAAACGTAGATAATTTATAGCCCCCAAAATAACAAAGCATAATTTAAGCATCATAAATGTTCCCTTATATGATTTGCACTCTATGTTCCAAGCCTTTTAGCATGACAAATATATTATCTAAAAATCACTATGTAATTTTGTTGAGTGGAAATATAGCTCGGACATTCTGCTTGAAGACTTTTTATGCGGCCAGGCGTGTAGGGCTGTGAAACGATTAATCACATCCGAAATAAAAGTTTGTGTTCACATAATATATGTGTATGTATACAGGCAGGAGCCATCTTTGGAAAATAGTCTCGACAAGTCGAACCACGAACTTCTGAACTGTATGGACGCTCGTGGTTCGACTAGTCGAGGCTGTTTTACAAAGATGGCTCCTGTCTCTATACACGAAGTGAACTGTCTTTATAAAATATCTTCTCATTAAACGGTCTGTATGTTCGTTTTGCATGTAGGGACCCTCATTATGTTTCTGTGTAAGTGTGGGGCTATTTTGAGCCTTGTTACTGGTATTAACTAGTGATTTCTTCTTTTTACTTATTATTTGCCCCCATATACTAGCGTATACTAAACAGTTTTTAGAGATAAAACACTATACATTCGATTACCATGAAAACGGTCTACTAGTTATCAATGTGTTATTAGACCAAAGGTTCATTTTGCGCCAGAGTTGTCCTTTAAAAATCTTTCAGTGTGTTTGTTGTGTTTTAAAGCTACACTGTGTAACTCTTTTAGTTTATTCTTAGCTCATTTACTTCGTTCAAGTAATAAAATATTCTCGTGAGTGTATAATATGCCATTGAAAATACATACGGGTAAGGGGTTCTAATGTCGGTCGCCATGTTGACTCTCCATCTTGAAAGTACATTAGCCAAAGAGGGACACACCCGTTAATTCAAGCTTCGCCTTTCGCGTTTACTTTTGAGTTAACGCTCATGGACGAGGTCGAACTGGAAGCCATGTTAATCTTGGACTACATTGGCCACCGTAGGAGTTAAAACGAAATCGGAATTGATATTTACTGGATGATATATATTTTTACACAACTAGATGGGGGTAAAAATCACATAGTGTAGCTTTAAAGTTGCGTTTAGAATGACATAAATGATGACAGATATTTCATTTTTGGGTACTGTCCCTTTAAGAGCAGTGACCAATATACTTTGTTTACCCTTGTTCTTATGTGCGGAGAAATGCCGTAGTAATTTTTTTCAGGGCAGGCCAGTATCCAGCACAGCGGTGAGGTATTTGGTCGAAGGGCTATAAATTGTGAGAGGTGCGTGTGAAGTGTGTGCGGCTCGCTCGTGGTTCAGGAGAACTAAACGTCCCGACCCAAACCTGTCCTTCAGAAATACAGGAGAAAGGGCATCAGTCAGTGTCAGGCCGCCAAACCTGAGACCCCACTGTTACCTCTCCTCGCTGTTTACCTGACAGCGAGACAGAGCCTCACACTCCCGCATGATGCTGGAAACATCACACCACTGTGCAAGAGGGAAAAACTGTATGAAATTATTAAATTACAGAAAATATTTGTTTTTATTTTTATTAATTATGCACAGTACACTACATACTGCAGAAGTAGCATATGTATTATTATTAGTATGAGAATTAGTATAAATACAACACTTTGAAAACAGTTAAATTGCAGATAAAATTGCATTTACGTGTGTGTGTGTGTGTGTGTGTGTGTGTGTGTGTGTGTGTGTGTAAATGAACGATGCACTACAGAAGCTGGACCCGTGCTAAAGACTACTTGACATGTTGGTGTTAAATACAAGTCAATATTTGCACTCCTGTTCATGTTTGGCTGGCACACACACACACACCTGAACCATTTTAATCACCTTCTTTTCTATACAAAACTATTGCACATTTCCGACTTTTTCACTGCTGTGTGTGTGTGAGTGTTGTTTCATGCTTATAAAAATGTGTTTAAAAGAATGATGAATGCAAGCAGGTGCAGGCAGCGGTTTAGTAACAGGATGTGTTTGCCAGCCATTTACACACACACACACACAGAGAGAAATGCACGCAAATACACACAAACAGCATGCTGCATTTACACACTCTTTATCACATTGTAACTCTTTGACTGTACGTACTCTCTTCAAACATACAGAACAAAGTGTGTGTGTGTGTGTGAGAGAGAGAGAGAGAGAGAGAGAGAGAGAGAGACTTACTGCCAGTGCTTGAGTCATTATTGAAGTCCAAAGCCTCCACAATCAACGTATATGACCTCTGAAAGAAAGAAAAAATACATATGAAAACATCAATACACACACCACACACACTCGAGAATCACCTTAAATTGCCGAATCTTATTTTCATTCACAATGTGCCAGTGAAATACAATAAGGACGACCCGCTGGCCCGCAGCTGTCAGTAAATATCACTTTTCCACCACTAATTCAATCACAATTCAAAATGCAAATAATACGATGATACCATTGATGTCCATTACATTTCAGAATCATCTATGGGAGGTTTTAAACTTAAACCTGGTATTTAAAAGTTTAACATGTTTTAAAAGGAAAAGAAAAAACAGTTACGATAACAGTAAGATATATTATTGTGTCTCATCTGCTCAGCAAGGCTGCATTTATTTACCGTAATCAAAAATACAGTATATGTGAAAATGTCAGCAACATGTGAGTTTCATGTGAGTTACTCCAGTCTTCAATGTCACATGATCCTTCAGAAATCATTTCAATATGACAAGAAACACTTCTGATTATTATCAATGTGGAAACAGCTGTTTCTTCATTTCATTACAAAAGAAATTTACTGACCCCAAATTTTTGAACGATTTAAGACTGAAATTAGGGATGCACGATATATCGGCCAGCATATCGGTATCGGCCGATATATGTTCATTTTTAATGTTATTGTTATCGGCCTGGTAAGAAAATGTGGCCGATATATTAAAGCCGATAAATAATGTATTATTCCCTTCAGCTGAGAAACTTGATGAGAACTGTTTATGTTTTTGAAATTCTTGAAATATGATTGAAATCTCTTCAAAAAAATGAAAATCTGGTATATCGAATGTCGACTGAGAACATAATTATAATTGTGCGCTTGGGACATGGATTTAATTGTGAGACTTTTGTTTTTGTAATCAAGCTCTCAAAATGAGATAAAAATTTGGATTTAAGTTTATCGGCCGATATATCGGTTATTGGCTTTCAAATACAAAGAATTATCGGTATCGGCCAAAATGTTCATATCGGTGCATCCCTAACTGAAATATCTATAAAACATAGTTTGAATGCACTGGATAAACACGTTCAAGCGGTTCAGTCTGAATTAACGCAGAGCTTTCATACACAGGGTTAATAACAAACATTTCCAGCATGTTTGAGGATCATTAATAATACACACAGTCAGGATTGATCACTCTTTGCTTTATCAGCAGACATCACTGAACTACTTTCACAATCTCGATTAAAGATAAGTAACAGGACAGACAGGAGGAGAGTGAAAGAATGCGTGAGAAAATCTGCAACAAGACGTTAGATGATGTTTGAGGGAGAAAAAAAATGAAACTAACAGAAAAGATTCTCAGAATACGAGTCTGATTCTGAGAACAGAAACATTCACTCTCAGTGAGATGATGATGACATCACGTCACACACAAACACACACTCACACAATGCCACTCTTCCTGCCTCTGCAGTCTGAGGGATCTATGGGTCTTTATGAGCTTTAATCCATCCACACACACACACACGAAGGCAAATTCAGACGAGTGTGTGTAGCTTGGGCTGAAGCTACACGCACACACAGGCCATTCACAGTTGGAACTCACACACACACACACTGTAAGAAGGGCTACAGGATTCAGCTGCAAGTGACACCTCAGTGAGACGGTGTGAGAAAGACATGAAGAACCTCTCGGACAGCACTCACTTCACACACTCACAGAGATGTTTGTTTGACCATATATTCAATATTTATAGCTCAATATTTATGCATTTTCTCTGTAATGGCTTCAGTTAGAAAAAAACACAAGTCATTGAAACCAGTGAGATGTTTAAAAATCTAGTTAAAGAAAATAGCAGAATTAAAGAATATTTCTGTTTCATTCTTTTACCAACATAAATAGCAATATTTGAACTACATATTTCCCCCCACAAATTTAATCATTGAAACGGACAGTTTGATTCACAAAGAGTCAAACTTTCCAACACCAGATATGAATTTATATATTTTTTTAAAATCATAGCAAAAACATTCTGAATGTTATTATATTGTGCAGCCCAAATCAAAACCTTTATAGTCCCACTGTGGTGAAAATCCAGATTTGAATAATATTTCCTATATGTCTATGTGGTGTTTTTAAAGGAGTAGTTCACTTTTCAAAAAAAAACTTTGCTGATAATTTACTCATCCCCATGTCATCCAAGATGTCCATGTCATTCTTTCTTCAGTCGAAAAGAAATGAAGGTTTTTGATGAAAACATTTCAGGATTTTTATCCATATAATGGACTTCAATGGGAACCAAACGGTTTGTTCAAAGGGCTTTAAACGATTCCAGACGACGAATAAGGGTCTTGTCAATCAAAACGATCGCTCATTTAAAAGAAAAAGTTTCAAAAACAAATCTTTTTTCGAGTCAATTCGTTCATTTCGTTTGTTGAATGAACCAAATGAGTCGAAAAAAGATTCGTTCATTTTGATGAACAAGAGAGTCACGAACGCACATCACAGAACAGAGCAAGGCGACCATTTGAGCTTATAAAACTTAAACTTTGTTTTTTTGGGTTTTTTTTAAATGAGTGATCGTTTCGCTTGATAAGACCCTTATTCATCGTCTGGAATCGTTTTTTAAAGCCCTTTGAACAGTTTGCACTGAAACTGTCTTTTGGACCTTGAACCGTTTGGTTCCCATTGAAGTCCATTATATGGAAAATCCTGGAATGTTTTCATCAAAAGAACCTTAATTTCTTTTCGACTGAAGAAAGAAAGACGTGGACATCTTGGATGACATGGGGGTGAGTAAATTATCAGCAAAAGTTTTTTGAAAAGTGAACTTCTCCTTTAAGGGATAAAGCTATTGACTACAGGGCGACTTTAACTTTTAAAACATAAAGGTTCGCACAAAGAGTTTAAAGCCAATCAGTAATGTGTTGTTTAATGTGTCACATGAACGAGAAGGATGTTATTATGACTGAGAGATCAATATATGAAGAGTTCAGATGCAAAAGCCTCTAAATGCCATTTGAAATGATGATTTTTATCAAACTTGGATATTTAAGTTCAGTAATTTCACTTAAATAACAATTAATAGGTAATTATCATTGCCATTTAAGTGAAATTACTGAACTTAAATACACAAGTTTGATAAAAATCATCATTAAAGAAGAAAATTTCAAATGGCATTTAGAGGCTTTTGCATCTGAACTCTTCATATGGATCCAAAAACATAAAATATAACAAAGAACCTTTTTTTTTAAATTACCAAAGAACCAGAGAGCAACTCAACAACCCTATACAGTGAAAATGGTTCTCGATAAGATGTTAAAGACAATAGTGAAGCATGAAATATCTACAGTGCATATCTAAGCTTTCAGCATCTCCAAGTTCACTAACAGCAGGACGCTGGTTTCCAAGACACCGTCCTAAACATCCATACACACACACCCTGAATTTTCATCTGACCACTGCTGATGGTGCAAAAACGAACAAAAGACAGATCAGAACACACACACACGCACTCGTGCAAAGACCCCCTGTGTTTCTTTGTAAACCGGCTTTGTTGAACCGCCTTCCCACAATCCAGCATCCAGTTCAATTGCTAGGTAGACTTGTGATGGAAAAGAAAGCATGCAAGATGACAATGTCTAATTAATCTCCATTCAGGGCGGCTGTGAGGCGGGTCTAGACCGCTCTGATCGACGTGGGCAGGGGGTGAGATGTTTGAGCACGGCTGCCACGGAAACTGGCCCTAATTGGACTATCAGACTGACTTGCTTTGACCTCGTATTGACGGCTCGGTCTCATGAGTTGTGAAAGTAAACATGGGCTTCAGCAAAAACAACTCCACCATTCAGATCCCGAATGGAATCAGATCGAGTCTTGGGAGACGTTCTAAAAAAACATAAGAGGCTTTCAGGGGTTGAGCAATATGGATTTTTTTATGAACGATGCCAATATCTTAGAGAGCAGGTGTCTGATATAAAGCTGATTTAGGCATATAGGATATCACACTTTTAATAGTCGTTAATATTTAGTCAATTAATCCGCACCAATTTCTGAAACAATCTGTTATTGGAAAAAAAATCATTTTTCCATGTTTCGTCCATTGCTGGAGCCATAGATATCCATAATAAAGGCTAGATGTCTTACGGCGGAGTCTCTATCGTCATCACCGGCGGCCATCTTGTCACAGGCAAACTTTCTGGCGGGCTCTGATGTAAGATGAGTGATCAGCACGAACACAAATACCCTTATCTTGGTGAAATCTTGACGGATTTACAAACAGTTTGGTTTCTTCATAGTGTTACGAGTGAGCGAGCTGCCTGTGACAAGATGGCCGCCAGATGCGGACGTCGACCTCCATTGGCCAGCAGCGCGGACGAGACATCTAGCCTTTATTGTGGATATCTATGGTTGGAGTGGCAGAGAAGGGTCTGCTGTGTGTAAACCGCACGAGAGCGGCCTCTAGAGGTGAAATAAAACCATCACTGATGCCTCGTGGAGTTTGTTTTGACACGTGAGGCTGCGCATTGAGCGGGACACTTCAGATGCACATATAAACCGGACAATGAAATGGTATGTATACAGTACACTACTGTACATGCTTTATTAGGTGATTAATTTGTTTGCAGTATGTTTGACGTCGAGGCTCAAAGAACACTAACACTAACTCAAGCGATTGGATTTATATGAAATGTTAACACTTTACAAATAGAGTCATTTGTCAAATTAACTAAGGTTATTAAAGGTATTGTTCATTTGAACATTTACCAGTACATTTTTAAGTTGTATCTCTTAACCGTAGTTAATGAACTAACATGAATGATCATGGTATATTTAATATAACCTATTATTTTTATATTTTATTTATTATTCATGGTTGTAATAAAGTTCAATTGTGTGTTTTTTTATATAGAATCATTATCCATTTTGAAGGTGCAATGTGTAAACATTTTGAGTGTCTATTAACAGAAATGCAATGACATATTCTCCCGCTAAAAATCACACACTGCACCTTTAAAAAAAACGTAGTTATCGTTAACGATAAAATCTACTATCGGTTGACCTCTATGTTTAATTTTAACAATTTCTGCAATTAAACTTGTATTTATTTGTATGTAATATTTACTAAACTAATTAAATAAATCATTTGGGGGGGGGGGGGGGGGGGGGGGTCTGTCAATTTAATAGATACACTTTCTTGAATCTGAAATCTTGAAAATGAATAATTTAAACCTAAATATGTAAAATATACAGATAGTTAGAAACTTATTTCCGAATCATATTTTTCAAAAATAAAGAAGCTGTAAAATCTAGACTACAATGGAAGGTGGTCACTGGTCAAAATATATCAAATGTGACACAAAATTACTGAAATAAACACTTATTTTGCACAATCTTTCCTCAAATTCACCCCCCAAAAAAGGTGTATTATTCATTGACAAGGCTGTCCGCAGATTTAGGAACCGACACGAGAGGGAACGAACACTTGGTTATGTGCAGAGCGCCGCACATGGTTATCTATCTGCCAATCGCAATAATCTGCAAAACGACTGTATCAATCACAAGCTAAAAGTATTTATAGACTAATAATTCAGCTTGGGTAGTCAATTTGCCTATATCTGTATATCAGCATGAGCCAATAACAATGTTTTCTTGTGAATTTCAAGTAAAAATTTTGTAGTATTGATTTGAACATTTGCTATGATTGAATTGTATTTCATTATGTCCTCATACAGCATTATATAGTCCACTCTATCCATCCATATCAGAATTGGCCACCTTATATGTGAATGCATTCTTTGTAGGTTGAATTACTGAATGTGTTTCAAAACCATTAATTGACAAGTATTCATAGGCAGGATTTTGACAAGGTGCCCAGAAATGCTGTCTAGGTATAGGCAGCTCACTTGGTTTCATTATGAGATTCAGAGATTGAAAGATAACCCCCTTAAATGATCAATGGTGCCTCTGCCTCGATATCTAAAGCAGTTTCCTGTGGCCATTGTGTGCAAAACAGCCTCTGATTGTCCATCAGTAGGTGCAGGAGATAAACTCAGGTGTTTAATAACGCATTGTCTTGCTATTTTGAGAGGATACTGGTGGAGTGGGCCGGCTAGGGTGGGGTAACACAAGACCCCTGTCCAACCCGAGCGTCATCATACAGGAATGCCATGGCACAGAGCACGTGAACGGGGCCAGAACCGGCTCTCACAAAACAACAGCTTGTAATCAGAGTCCTGGGAAATGTCGAGTGTGTGTTTACAAACAGAATGTGATGCTGGATGCCTCATGGAAACGGTAAGGCGTAGGGAAGACCGGGGCAAGTTGTCACAGCGAGTTTCATGACTGGACTTTGTCATTTTTGTGACCAATAACAGTGTGGACGTTCAATGGCTGTTCTTCTGTTGGAAATAGTCTAACTTATACACAAACTGACTTTCAAACTGACCGTGATAAATATTTAGGCTCCTGCACTTAAGAGTGTGACGACTAGCCCCGGTGTCATGTAATCCTATGTTTAGCCGTCTTGTTTAAATCATATGGTTTGCTAACAAAAACAGCATTTTCAACTCACCGGCCACGCGAAACTGAAGGGCAGCACAATCCTGGATTTATCGTTCGTGTTGTCGAGGGGCTTGACAGAAAAAGTATTCCCACCGATAACGGGCGTAGATCCGCTTCCGTAACTGCACGGGCCTCCCGAAGTTACCCGCGTCTGATACTCCTTCAAACACACGCGGAAAAACGTATCGCACTCGTCCGCCGTGCATGTGCGGTCCAACGCGGCGCGTGCACCGTCACAGCACGCGCCGCTCTGCAGCTCCCCGTTCACGTTCTGCACGGACAGAACCTGCATCTCAAAATGTCCCGATGCCTCACATACCTGGAACAAAGAATACGGAAAACAGTTAATATTAGTGTCAAAAAAAATCTTTGACATTGTGGATTAAATCAATCAATCTATCTATCTATCTATCTATCTATCTATCTATCTATCTATCTATCTATCTATCTATCTATCTATCTATCTATCTATCTATTAAAGTGCCAAAAAAGTATTTTCCCCCACTGTTATGTGCATAAACAATCAAAAATCTGTCAAAAAAGTTTTTTTTAAAACCTTAAAAGTTTGAAACAAAATGTGAGATCTAATAAAAACTGCGAAATTTAAATGAGAACTCCTACAGGACATCATCTATTTCAGTGCAAATGTTCTAATAGCATCATCACATGTCACATATGAATAGCCAAACCGCACGTACCCGCATCCACAGGCACCGCAAAAGCACATGAACGGACAGCACCGCAAAACTTGGACTCCGTCTCAGAATCATGCCTCCTCTGTCTGTCTGTTCGCTGTGAAACTACACGTTCATCCGACACACGGCTCTCATATAGTGCCTCATGCACGAGGACTGAGCCGCTCAGATCCAATAGACAGATTCCCTGATGCCCCTTTAGAGGCTCTATTATCCTCCACTCTATTCTTGTATTGTCCTTCTGTTTTTACAACAATGCCCACGGGCTGGAGAGGAAAAGCTGCGAATGCGACTGAGCGAACGCTCCATCTATACAGCGCGTTCACGCAGGAGGGGCGGGGCCGGCACTTGAGAGGCGTTACGTATTCATGAGTGGGCGGGGCCGTGAGTGGCAATAACATCCACCTTGTTTTCTAAGCAGTTTTTGAATTGTCACCCAATTATTTTGAGAGAAAAAAAATCTGTTAAATATTACATCGAAAACAAATGGTATGAGGATTCAAAAATAATATAAAACGTGTATTTTGTATTTGCTGTCATAATTTTTGCAGCCCATGTTTTATCTCCTGCCAAAAAATTGTAACAGATTTACACATTCCAAATAAAATTTCATCAAATTGAATACATACATTTAGTCACTTAGCAGACGCTTTTATCCAAAATAAACTAAATTAAAGCGAGTTATCGTGAAAGAGGCAAAAACAATGCAAGAAGTGCTCAAAGTGCAGACAAGGGAGCATGAGGTTACATATGAATAATCCTTGCATATTATTCATATGATGAATTAAGAATATTAAATGAGTGAAAAAAACTAGAGCTTAATAAAACATTTTGCATTAATCTTAAACTTAAATTTAAGCATATTTTTTTACATTTATGAATAGGAATCACATCCACTAAATGGTCACTTCCCTTTCCATAAATATTAAAATAATTTATTTAGATAATTTTGCAACCTTTTTTTATTCTCAACAATCAACTGACTGTACGTCTATCCACCCAAGTGTCCTCTTCATTCACATAAAATCAAAACTAGTGTGTGTCCTATCCAGGTACACACCCCTCAGACAGCATACTCATGATTTCTGACAGTTTATTCCCATGAGCCTGCATAGACGTTTTCAGAGACTGTCAGTCTGAATCGTATTAGGCATCGCTCTCTGACCTTCCTTCCTGGTGTCTCTGCATGCCTTATCGCATTATAGGCCTTCCTTCACTTGATTGCATTCTAACGAGGTTCATTCGCTACACATTTTGGCACAAGTTGCCATTGTGACAGTCCTGTTATTATGCATATGTTATTCATGAGCAAGAACCATGAATATCAGCATCAGCACACAGGAGCGCTTGCTAGTTCTCCATTGTTTTGGCCACAGAAACAGCCTCAGTCTTTTCATCCCTGTAATGGCAGCTGGTCGGAGACGGCTCTTTCTCGGGACGACAAACTGCTCTTTTCAAAGCTAAACGTGAAGCGGTTAATCATCTCCCAGTCCGTGCTTGAGGAGTCCCTAATGAAAAGGACATGACAGGAATGGGGGGGGGGGGGGGGGGGGGGGGGGGGAGAAGAAAAGGGGAATCTCCTGTGAAATAGAGATGGAGGAAGGTGGGGGTCTTTATTTTTAAATTAGAGCAGCTGGGTCTCACTCTCCTTAAAGAGCGGTCATGAATATATTATAGCACAGGCCTAAACAGGAGCCGCCCACCCCCTTCCTCTGGGACACGCCCCCTCCCATTAGGACACGCCCCCTCCTCTGGATGGAATGAACTGCATTCCGTTGACAATGAAGAGAACAGGTATGATTCATATTCAACACATTTTCTCAAGCTGGATTTTCTCACGAACAAGTAAACTCAGTAGCCTACCGTTTAAAAGTTCATTAAAGGAGTAGTTCACCTCGTCAGATTTATTTGATCAAAAACAATAATATTGGGGAAAGTTTTTTATTAGAATATATTGTAAAATGAAATTTATTCCTGTGACCAAAGCTGAATTTTCAGCATCATTACTCCAGTCTTCAGTGTCACATGATCCTTCAGAAATCACTAATATGATGATTTGATTTCTGATTATTATCAATGTTGGAAACAGTTTTTGTAGAAACTGATTTTTTTTTTCAGGATTCTTTGATGAACAGAAAGTTCAAAATTAACCCTAATTCAAAGATGTCGTTACCTTAATAAAACTTTAAAATAAAGTGTATTACATGTGAAGATTTTATTGAAATCTGTTCCATTCCCCTTTGTGGTCAAGAAACAATTGAGCTGTGATACTCCATTGTGTTGACACTCACAAACCTCCTCAAAAAAAGGGAAGAAAATCCAGGTGTCTTTTACCGAGGAATCTCAGACTCTCCCAATTCCTCAGAACCCATAAATTCAGTGACATCTTTGCATCTCAACCACGATTTCCCAAGCCTGACATGAGCATCCCATCAGGCCTGAAGCCTCAGGCAGTGATACGCTGTCAAGCCGCCAGTATGCTATCTTTCCCTTTACACTTCACGTGGCAACCAGTTTCACTTTCCTGTATCTTCACGCCTTGTCTATTCATGCGCGACTGATGGCAAGGGTTTCCACGCCCACGTGAGAAAGACCTTTTCAGTCTGTGTTTTTGTTGATTTGCATGTTTGTTTACTTATCTCTTTACCTTTGACTTAGTTTTCGGAGATTGATCGTTCATAACTGGGATGTTTTACAGTAACGCCGTGCTCGGTTTGTGTGTGTGTTTGTGTACGAGCAGAGGTTCCCACAGCCTCTCCTCTCCTTTCTTGCTCTGACCTGTGTGTCATTTCCCTGCAGGAGCGACGTTGCGAAACTTGGCAGTGAGAAAAAAAAGAAGACTTAATGAGCAACTATATTAGATCTACAGTGCCTCATCTGTCCTTTTAGGTTTTTGTGGAAGCTTGTTTCCGCCACAGAATGAAAAATAAAAAAGGTAATTGCGACTATTTATCTCACAATTCTGACTTTTTTTCTCATAATTGCAAATTTACATCTAGCAATTCTGACTTTATTTCACACAATTGCGAGATATAAAGTCAGAATTGCGTGATATAAAGTCACAATTGCATGATATTAAGTAAAAAGTTTGAGATATAAAGTCAGAATTGCGTGATATAAAGTCAGAATTGTGTGTTATAAAGTCAAAATTGCGAGATATAAAGTCGGAATTGCGAGATATAAAGTCAGAATTGCGTGTTATAAAGTCAGAATTGTGTGATATAAAGTTGCAAATGCGTGTTATAAAGTCAGAATTTTGAGATATAAAGTCAGAATTGCGTGTTATAAAATCACAATTGCATGTTAAAGTCAGAATTGTGTGATATAAAGTTGCAAATGCGTGTTATAAAGTCAGAATTTTGAGATATAAAGTCAGAATTGCGAGATATAAAGTCAGAATTGCGAGATATAAAGTCAGAATTGCGTGATATAAAGTCAGAATTGCGTGATATAAAAGTCAGAATTGTGAGATATAAAGTCAGAATTTTGAGATATAAAGTCAGAATTGCGTGATATAAAGTAAGAATTTTGAGATATAAAGTCAGAATTGCGTGATATAAAGTCAGAATTGCGAGATATAAAGTTGCAAATGCGTGATATGAAGTCAGAATTGCGCGATATAGTCAGAATTTCGTGATATAAAGTTGCAAATGCGTGTTATAAAGTCAGAATTGTGAGATATAAAGTCAGAATTGTGAGATATAAAGTCAGAATTGAGTGATATAAAAGTCATAATTGCGTGTTATAAAGTCAAAATTGCGAGATATAAAGTAAGAATTGTGAGATATAAAGTTGCAAATGCGTGTTATGAAGTCAGAATTGCGTGATATAAAGTTGCAAATGCGTGAAATTGAAATCAGAATTGCGCGATTCGTTATAAAGTCAGAAATGCACGATATAAAATCAAAATTGTGTGTTGTAAAGTCAGAATTTTGAGATATAAACTATTCTGAGGGGGAATAAAGTATTTTTCCCCTTAGAATTGGCCTGATAACTCTCTATTCGCAATTCTCGATGTCAGAATTTCACGATATAAACTCGCAATTATGTGTTATAAATATAAATAAAATATATTTTATGTATAATATTATATAGATATATAAAATATCCATGCTTTAAATTACTTTCAATTTCTTGTATATTGCACAAATACGAGCATGAGGAATACGTTTCTGGCTGCAGTTCACTTAATGGCCACTGGTGTCGCTAATAACAAGCGTTTCTGAATTCTACATATAGCCCCTTTAAATGAACATGGTTGAGTTTCATCAGCTCTCAGACAATATGTATAAGAATCTGTATAGGGCCTGATGGAAATGACAAGTCTTCCACTCATCTGTTCAGCAATGTTGCATCTTGGTCTGAAAAAAATAGAAAGATTGTCAATGTTTGTGTGTGTGCTGAGGAAAAGCTTTGAGGAAAGAGCTTGTTTGAAGGGAAAACGCAGCTAATTGTAACTCTTTCTTTGTTTTCTGAAGATTAAATAGCTCAACGCAAGCCAGACTCTGTAAATACTTACAACCGGACCACATGATGAACACATTTCAAATCTCTCCGAGTTTAGCCAGATGTTGCTAAGATTCACAAGAACAAGAACCTGGCTAAGCTGAGAAATGTAACATTGTAAATTTTCCACAAAAGACATTTGACAACAAAAGAAAAATGGTTGACAAAAGATTACAATTACAGATACAGCTCAAAGTTTACACATTTGGCAAAACTTTGAAAACAAGACCTCTTTTTTTTCTGGAACACACATTTTACTCACTTTTTAATTGATCTCTACACATTACTTGTTTAATTTCTTCATTTAAATATATACGAACATCTTATTATACATGACTCATCAATATTGCATTGCTCCACCTCTAACACAATCTTTCTTTTTGGCTGACATCACAGATCATTACGTTTTAACCAATTATTGTTCAACCTCCCCCCATAGACCCACTGACTCCATTCTGGAATGTACCGTCCACCTTTCGAAAATTCCTAATGGATAAATAATGTCCCACCATACATTTTTTATCATAAAATATCTCAAATAAGTCAAATTACAGAATGAAGACGGTACGTAGTGTCATTTTGATCCACACAGAGCTTGTTCTTTTCACTCTAAACAAATGCTGGGTTGTTTTAACCCAAATTTGGGTCAAATATGGACAAACCCATATGTTGGGTTAAAAACAGTTGAAAGTGAAAGATGAAGTTGGTTTAAAATTTTTAAACCAACATTTGGGTTGAAACAACCCAGCATTTTTTAGACTGTATGACCATGTTGAGGTGGAATGGGTTG